AACAGTTTAAAAATCAAATAATGCAAGTATAAAATATAGTCTCCTTCTATACCCTCTTTCTTGGTCTATAAAGTGACTACTGGGTTAACAATTCAGTATAGACCCTTTCCAAATTAAAAAAAAATTAAAAATTTAATGAGATCACATATGTATTGTTTTGCACCATTTTTCATTGCCTATACCTTACAACTCTTTCCATGTCGATTAAGGTACACAGATCTGCATTTCTACCACTGTGTAGTATTTTGTATGATGACTGCAGCATAATTTAGCTATTCTTTTACTGATAGATATTAAAATTTCTAATTGTTCACAATCACAAAGTTTTATGGTGACTATCATACTACATACATCTAAGCAAGTTATTTTGAAGATCTCACAACCAGTTGGTTCATGGGCAATGTGAATTTGAAATTTTACCATGGTTAGAGCTGTTAGGGTTATGCTAGCTTCAGAGTTGGGAAGTACTCCATCTTTCTCTATGCTTTGTTCCTGGTGACACTGATTGGGGACTGATTATGACATTAATAATTACCAATTTATTAAAGTTTTTTGACTCTTGAGCCAATATTTTGAAACTCGTCTTTTCCAAGAAAATTAGCCAAGTGAATTTTCTTCTTTTTGAGATGGAGCCTTGCTCTGTCACCCAGACTGGAGTGTGGTGGCATGATCTCTGCTCACTGCAACCTCTGTCTCCTGGGTTCAAGTGATTCTCCTGCCTCAGCCTCCTGAGTAGCTGGGATTACAGGTGCCTGCCTCCATGCCCAGCTAATTTTTATATTTTTAGTAGAGATGGGTTTTCACCATGTTGGCCAGGCAGGTCTCCAACTCCTGACCTCAAGTGATCCACCCACCTCAGCCTCCCAAAATGCTGGGATTATAGGCGTGAGCCACCACGCCCAGCCGAATTTTCAAGATTAGTAAAGGCTGAACATTCTTAATCTGAAAATCCAAATTCCTAAATGCTCCAAAGTCTGAAACTTTTTGAGCACTGCCATGATGCAACAAACAGAAAATTCCACACATAAATACTTAACATAAACTTTGTTTTATGTACCAGATTATTTAAAATGCTATACAAAATTACCTTCAGGCTTTGTGTATAAGGTGTACATAAAACAAATGAATTTCATGTTTTGTCTTGGGTCCCATACCCGAGACATCTCATTATGTATATGCAAACATTCCAAAATCCAAAATCTGGAACACTCTGGTCCTAAGCATTTTTGGGTCCTAAGCTCAATGTGTATGTTACACAAAATAATTTGCTTCTGATTTTCAAAGTCTCCTTCATATCTGTACTATGTCCTTTGCCCTTACTTTTTTTTTTTGAGACGGATTCTCGCTCTGTTGCCAAGCTGGAGTGCAGTGGCGCGATCTCAGCTTACTGCAACCTCCGCCTCCTGGGTTGAAGCGATTCTCCTGCCTCAGCCTCCAGAGTAACTGGGACTACAGGTGCCTGCCACCACCCCAGCTAATTTTTGTATTTTTAGTAGAGATGGGGTTTCACCATGTTGGCCAGGATGGTCTCGATCTCTTGACCTCATGATCTGTCTGCCTTGGTCTCCCAAAGTGCTGGGATTACAGGCATGAGCCACCATGCCCGGCCTGTTTCTTTTTTTTCTGAGACAGTGTCTAGCTCTGCTGACCAGGCTGGAGTGCAGTGGTGCAATCATGGCTCACTGTAGCCTCACCCTCCTGGGCTCAAGTCATCCTCCCTCCATGGGCTCCTTTGTTTCCAATATCATTTTCTTTCCTTTTCTTCCTCAGATTTGTTGAGTGTCTATTTATTGTTCTTTTCACACACCAGTTAATTACTATCATCAATTTTATTTTCTATTTCATTACCTTCTGCTTTTATTATTTTTGAGATGGAGTCTTGCTCTGTCACCCAGACTGGAGTGCAATGGCACAATCTTGGCTCACTGCAACCTCTGCCTCTTGGGTTCAAGTAATTCTCCTGCCTTAGCCTCCCAAGTAACCGGAATTACAGGTGCACGCCACCACACCCGGCTAATTTTTTAATTTCTAGTAGAAATGGAGTTTCACCATGTTGGTGAGGCTGGTCTCGAACTCCTGACCTCAAGTGATTCACCTGCCTCAGCCTCTCAAAGTGCCGGGCGTGAGCCACTGCACCTGGACTCTGCTTTTATTTTTAATTCCTTCTACTTTTATTTTGGGAGATTTTACTTTTTCTGCTTCTCTGTTACCTGTTTCTGTTTCCTCTTCTAATCCTTCCTGTTATGTGTGTATCCTTTAAGGATTTGTGACATGCTGTCTCATTTCCTCAGTAAATTTATCTACTACATATTGTATAGTGACAAAAATAAAACCTTTACCATTACTACGTAAGTGGCTATAAACACTATTAATTTGAAGTCATAGTGGGTTCCAATTCCTCAACTCCTACTTGTGTGATCTTGGTCAAATCTGAGTTGTTTCTTCGTCTGTAAAAATAAAAATAACAATACACATTAGGTTGGGTATTATTTGCAAATCATTTATCACAGAAACTGGCCCACATGAGTAACTCGATAAATGCCTGGTATGCAAAAGGCCTCAGCTGACCCATTTCTTGTTTTGTTTTTTCCTTTGAGGCAGAGTTTTGCTCTTGTCATCCAGGCTGGAGGGCAATTGTGCAATCTCAGCTCACCGCAACCTCCCCCTCTCAGGTTCAAGTGATTCTCCTGCTTCAGCCTCCCTAGCAGCTGGGATTACAGGCTCCTTCTACCACGACTGGCTAATTTTTGTATTTTTAGTAGTTTCACCATGTTGGCTAGGCTGGTCTCAAATCCCTGACTTCAGGTGATCCGCCCGCCTTGGCTTCCCAAAGTGCTAGAATTACAGGCCACCGTGCCCGACCCAGTTGCCCCATTTCTAAAAGTGAGGGGATTAGGACAACTAATCCCAAATTCACTTCCAACAGTGAAAAACTTTATCTTCAGCCTATTAGTTCACCTGCCTGACAGTCAACTGATCAACCCACCCACTCACCCACACAACAGTGACTAAGCCCTTCTCTTAAATGAAATATTCTAGATGTCAGAAATGCCAAGATTTTAAGATACAATCCCTACCTTCCGGAAGCTCAGGGTCCTTGAGGGTTGAGGAAAAATTGTTAAACAGATAATTATAATACAACGGGATAAGTGATCTAATAAAAGGTTGTGGGAATTCAGAGACTTTGAGGAGCTCCTGCAGCAAAATCCAAGACCTATGTTGGAATCCTAAGTCAGGTATTTAATACTTAATACTGAAGGGGGAATTAATGAATTTTATAAGTATGTTACTCAAGAAGTTAATTTTTTTCCTTAGAGGTAGAATGTAATATAGCCCCCTGGTCTGGAGGCCTGGGTTAGGAAAGAATATTAACTGCTTATTTCTCCTCTATGCACGGAGAGGCTTATCTGTGTTCCATGGTTTCACATTCCTTGAGGCACGGCGAGGTCTTGCTTCCCTCCCCAGCGCGGCTGTAAAGTCACAAGGTTGATAAGCAATTACTACAAAAGCATGTATTCCCAAGGATATAAGACATGTGCTGTAACAAATGTAAAAGAGTAATTATCTGCCTTTGTTCTTGCTTCTGCAAGCAGGCTTCCTGCAGCACGAAACTCCCGCCACAAACTGCTTGAAAGGTAACTGATCCCTTTGTTCCGGACTCAGTCTTTCTGGACCCTAGTCCGACTGAGCCAGTGATCACCTTAATAATAAAGAGCTCTCCTGAACTCTGTTCGGCCTCTCCCGTCTCTCATTTGTCCCGCAACACTAGCAGTGTATCCTCAGGCAATTAACTTTTTTGTTCCTTGTTTCTCTCTCTGTAAAAAGGAGGAGGAATACTTATTTTGGCAGGTTATAATAAGAATTGAGTCAAACTCATTTATGTTGGTATAAAAAAATGAACAAGAAAACTAATATAAAGCACTTAGATCAGTACCAGGCAGATCATAGGAACTCAATAAACGGCAATTAGTAATATTACAAAAGGTGATGGAAGTCAAAGACAATTTACTGTACCTCAAGAGAGTAGAGGTAGGATCAGGAGAATTCCCCAAATGTGTTCACAGACAAAAACTGGGGGAAAGGCAGGGTAGTTTCCTGGTAAGACGAACAGCACATGACAAGGCACAGAGATATTAAAAAGTATGGTATGTTTCTAGGACCAGTTCGTTATTCCAGAAGGGAGAAGGCAATAAGGGTGGAAAAACTGGGCCGAGAGGGGAATCTGGGTTGGTGATGCCTCTGGTGGGCAGAGAATTCTTACTAATTTCTGTATTTTCTGCTGCTGGTACAAAACGTGACCCATATGTTTCCAACAAATGATGAAACAATTCATTCCTGTTGTTAAGCAATAGGGTTGTAGAGAAATATTTGAGCAGTAAACATGCTACAGTGAAAGGAACCTCGGATTTGGAGCCAGGAGACCTGAAGCAGTCTTTTGACTAATGACCTGTGTTTTTATACTGGTTTTACAACTTACCTGCTGCCTGGCCTTACCAACGTACCGACATATTGAGTCTCTTGACCTATAAAATAGGGGTAACATCTAACAAGCGATTATTTAAGAGTTGGCGCTAGTAAAGTACTCAATAAAAACAGCGGCTGCAGCTGCTAAATTCTCCTTTAGGTCTTTTTCCATACTTGCGAAATGACAGGGTAACAAATTTCCTTCCAACCACCACTGAGAAAGTATACTAGGTTTGCTCAAGGACAAAAAGGCCCCGCCCGGTCCGCGCCACACAGGTCACCTACGCAGAATGCAGTCCTGGGAGGTTCCACTTGTGTCGCTCAGCGATGGAGGGCGCGATCGATGACAGGCCACTCCAGAGACGGACCTAGATAGGCTCGTGAGAGGCCGAGCCGAATTTTACCGAAAACCAGTTCACACCACCACCCGATTCGTCCAGACGAAAAGCCAAGAAACAGCTGAGGGAAAGGAAACCGGAAATGGCGTGAGCCGTGAGGAACGGGAAATGACCTCAGCACGTCGGAAGTGTACTCGTTTCCACGGCGACGGCCTTGCTGCCTCTCCAGCCAAGTGACTGGAGTCGGGAGGCTGGAAAGCAGCTCCGAGAAAGTACCAGCCGAAGGCGGCCGCCGCCACAGCGACTCTCAGGGAGTAGCAGACGAAGACGGCGGCCGCCGCACTAGCCACCACGTGTGGAGGATAAACGGCCTACACGGCCATTCCAGCGCCGAGTCAAGGGAAAGAGTTAGCGACGACGGGGAAAGAAAACGTGAAGAGGGTGACCGCCGCTCCAGGGTCGCTGCGGGAAGCCTAAGTGGAGACGCCGGCTTGTCCCGCAGTGACTTGAGAAGGGTCAGTGAAAACCTCGGCCACTGCCGCAGCGTCTCTGGGGAGAGAGTTAGGGGGGATAGTGGCTGCAGTCACAGAAGCTCTTGGGAGAGAGTTAGGGGAGACCGCAGCTTCTGCAGCAGCGACGTGAATTTTAGTGAAGTTGGAGGCCACCAAACTGCCGACTCCAGGGGAACTACCAGAGAAGACCGAGGCCTCCGCCTAAGTGATACTTGGGAGGGAGTCAGTGACGTCCGGGACCCGCGAACTAGTGACTTCGGGTATAGAGTCAGTGACGATCGCAGTCGCCGCCTCAGTGGCTCCTGGGAGGGAGGGAGTGTCGATGGCGGCCACAGCCTCGGTAGTTCTTGGGAGGGAGTAAGTGAAGACTGCGGCTACGCAGCCAGCGACTCCTCCGGTGTGAGCGGCAGTGAAGACGCCAGCTGCCGCCTCAGTGGCGTTTGGGAGAGAGAAAGTGAAGACGAAGGTTTCTGCTGCAGCTTCTGGGAGAGAGCAAGAGAGGACCTTGGGCCCTGTCCTAGTGACGACGGAGAAGAGGGCCGCTGCCCCTGCCGTGGCTCGTGGGTGAGAGCAAGTGAAGACCGCGGCAGCATCAGGGGCCTGGACTCAACTACTCCCCAGAGTCGGAGGTGTTGCATCATGCCCGGGGTGGCTAATTCAGGCCCCTCCACTTCCTCTAGGGAGACTGCAAACCCCTGTGAGTCAGACTATGTCGTTGGCCCTCATCTCTGCCACATTCCTTTTCTTACTTAAGCGTGCAACAGTCTTAGCCCTTTCTGGCATTTCCTTTTCTCAGGTGTCGCTCCCCGTTTCCCTTTCTAATTTGTTTTTGGAGATACCAAAGCTGTCAACTTTCCCCTGTTCTGTATTATTTCAGCTTTCTTTCCTTTTTTCCATCCACACCAGTCCTCTGAGTCTTCTTGCCCAGCTTAACATCAACTCTTGTTCAGTCTTATGGACTCTTTTAAGTTCTTCCTTGGCTTCCCTGAAGCATTTGACCCTGTGGAGACGACAAATTAGTACTTACTTAGTTTTCTTCTTTCACTCTATTGAGTGACCCTTTCCTTTGCCGTTTTCTTTTCTCAGCTTTCCCCCCTTGATGATGCCATCATTGGTTCTCTTCCTCTTGTCATTTACTGTGACTTCAGTCCTACTGATGGCCCTCAAATCTGTTACTCATTCAACCAACCAGTAAATATTTACTGCGTGCCTACTTTGTGCTCTGTGTTAAGGAACTATCAGTAAAGAAGACAAGGCACATTCTTTACCTTCTAGTGAGGAAGATAAATACTAAGCAAATAATGACAAGTAAGGTGAGTGTTATAAAGGATGGTAGAATGTCACTGATTCCAGTAGCGGGTGAGTATGGGTGTCAGAAAAAACATTCTAATGCAGAGACACACGTAACACTGAGACCTGAATTCTGTATCTCTCCTCGGAGCTGCAGATGTATACATGTGTCTCCCTTCTGGAAATCTTCCTTGGGTACCTCAAGAACAGCATGTCCAAATTGTAATTTTGTATCTATATATCCTCTCTGTCCTTCAGTGTTTGCTGTCTCAACTAATGGCACCACAGCACTCAGATGACAAAGCCAGACATCTTGGAGTTATCTCACTACTTTTATTTCACCCACTGAATCCATTCTAGTTTAGTTCATTCTAATTTTATTAATATTTGTTGAATCTGTCTGCTTTTCTTTTCCCACTGTTCAGGATCTCATTTTTTCTGGTCTAGACTATTGTAAAGTGTATTCTTACATGATCTACCTACTATTTTTTTTTTTTTGAGGCAGAGTCTCGCTCTGTCCCCCAGGCTGGAGTGCAGTGATGCGATCTCAGCTCACTGCAAGTTCCACCTCCCAAGTTCACGCCATTCTCCTGCCTCAGCCTCCCGAGTAGCTGGGACAACAGGCGCCCGCCACCATGCCCGGCTAATTTTTTGTGTTTTTAGTAGAGACGGGTTTCACTGTGTTAGCCAGGATGGTCTCATCTCTTGACCTCATGGGATTACAGGCGTGAGCCACCGTGCCGGACCAATCAACCTACTCTCTAGTTTTGCCTTTTTGCTCCCCATTCAATAAATTCTCTTCCCTGAATTTAGCCTTGTAAACTCAGCCTTACAACTCTCAATCATTATAATTCTTCTGTTTAAAATTCCTCAGTGATTCTCCACTGTCTGCTCAAGTCCAAGTTTTTAAAAATAAGTTTCACCATTGTCTGTATCTTGTCTAGTTCTAGGCAATATTTCCCCTTAATACTTTAGTAATAGGATTTGTGTGTGTGTGTGTGTGTGTATGTGTGTGTGAGATTTTTTGACAGTTCATGCTGTTTAGAATGCCTTTCACTGCTCCCACTTTCCTTGGCAAACTCCTGTTAATCTTTGAAGATTCTATCTTAGATGTTACTTTCCCCGGGAATCCTTCTCTGTTCCCCTTCCCTCCTACCCTAGCTGAGTTTGAAGTCATCTGTGCTTCCACAAGTTCCTATGAGTATTTCCATCATTGCTTTTACCACGTTATTTTGTATTTTGTGTTTGTATTTTCTCTACTAATCTGTGAGTTCCTTGAGGGTGTCTTCATCTTTTTATTCTTATGGTAGATACCAAACTTATGTTGAGTAGATGGATGGGTGGATGAGTGAATAAATTGGGATGGAATGTGGTGAGAAAAAAGGCCATAAAATTAGATGGAGCCAAATTATGGGAGGCCATAGAGGTCATACTGAGAGTCTGGGTTTTGTTTTGTAGACTAGCAGTGGCCAACCAGTAGCAGTTTAGAGTAGGGGCATGAAGTGATCAGGATAGTTGGTCTGTATAAGATGGATTAGAGGAGTGTCTGTGTAAAATAAGTAGAGTGGATAGAACATCATTTGTAGGTCTAGCTGTGCTAGTTTAAAGGAGAAGAATGAAGTTCTGGCCTAGGGATTAACATCATTGAATGTTTATTAAAGGGGGGTGTGTGTGTATGTGTCTGTGTGCACACCTTACATAAGCTCTTGTTCCCATTTGCCATATATCTTAATTGTTCCTCAAGGTCTTGCTCGAATGTTTCCTCCTGTATGACTTGTTTTGTTACTCCTTAATTTTACCTGTACTCTCTGAGGACATTGCTGTCAGGTTTTTGTTTTCTTTATGTATTTATCCAAATAGATTTTAATGTGTTGGTGGAAAAAAAAGTATTAAATCTATGTCCATTTTCTATGATGTGCTTGACTCACGGTAGATGTTCAGAAAGGCTTTTTGAGTACATTTATAGCATTTTGCTAAGAGCAAAGATATAATTAGAGTATATAAAAAGATGTAATAAAAGTAAGATATAATTCCAGTGTAAAATATGATTTTTGCCCTTAAGAAATTAATATTTTGATTGTGGAGAGAGGACAGGTACATAGCTAAATAGTAGTACAAGGTTGCACAGATCATTTGCCAGAAGTGTTGGTGAGCTGTTTTCAAATCAGCTTCAGGTCAGGAATCATGCCTGTTTTATTTAGAGAATGCTGCAGTTGAACTGCTTACTCCTTCATCCTTCTCTAATAGCTGTCTGTTCATGCTTAGATACCTTTATTGCCTCTGGTTCACAATGCTTATTAATTAAATTATAAAATATGAAGCACTAACAGTATATGAATTAAAAATTGTAGCCTGCCATTCCTTTCATAGTGTAAGACATAAATTAGAAATGTAAGAAAGATGTTGATAAAATATATCTGCATGTATGAGAGGAGGCTCTGGTGAAGTCTTTTTCACTAGGGAGGCCTTTGTTATGGAGAACACATTAGGCATATTTCAAAATGGTTACTTTCTCCTTCTCACTGCCAAATACGTGAGTTCCTGGCTTTTCACCATGGTAACCTGGTGAGGTTTGTGAAGGTAAAATCTATGAAAGTGTAGTGGCTCCCTAAGTAAGAGTGTGACCCCTAGAAGTTTCTCATTCTTTGACCAGTATGTACTCAACCTCTGGCAAGTCATCAAAATACCATGTAAGTGCTTCTATCACTTTATGACTCCAGTGCTTCTGCTCTAGGACTATATTTTTCTGTATTTGTCTCTCCAGATTTGGGGTAGCAGTTTGCCCTGAGACCTCAGTTCTCTGATGGGTCCAAGAAAAATTGTTCATTTTCTATTTATTCACTTTTCCCTATAAGGATGGGAATGTCAACTTCCATGCTTTTTACATGTCAGTGTTGAAACCAGAAGTCTGTTTAAGATATTAATGACAGGCCGGGCGCGGTGGCTCAAGCCTGTAATCCCAGCACTTTGGGAGGCTGAGACGGGCGGATCACGAGGTCAGGAGATCGAGACCGTCCTGGCGAACACGGTGAAACCCCGTCTCTACTAAAAAAAAAAAAATACAAAAAACTAGCCGGGCGAGGTGGCGGGCGCCTGTGGTCCCAGCTACTCGGGAGGCTGAGGCAGGAGAATGGCGTAAACCCGGGAGGCGGAGCTTGCAGTGAGCTGAGATCCGGCCACTGCACTCCAGCCCGGGCGACAGAGCGAGACTCCGTCTCAAAAAAAATATTAATGACAAACGTCTTTGTAGTAAATTATTTGGAAAACCAAAGTAATTTTGTGCTTTCTGTTAGATCACTGTTTTAGTCTTTTTTTTTCTTTCACAGTTTTGTAGTACATTGTAAATAATTTGATTTTTCAGTAGGTTCCAGGAAGAAGGTGCATTTTGGCAGCATACATGACGCAGTACGAGCTGGAGATGTAAAGCAGCTTTCAGAAATAGTGGAACATGGAGCCAGCATTAATGAAGTTGATGTTCTCCATAAGTTTACCCCTTTACATTGGGCAGCACATTCTGGAAGTTTGGAGGTAAGGAACTATACATACCACTAAACCGAGGTTAAGTTTATAGCAATAACAGTTTTGTAAATTTAGCAAACAGGGTTGAGACCTTCTGGTAGGTACTGCATATATTTTCTTTTCAGTCATAGTTATTTAATATTTGGGTATTCCACTTTGCTAGGACTTTATAACAAATTATCCCAAAATTTAGCGTAATAAAATAATGATTTAGTTATACTCGTGAACAAACGTAAGTTTGTCTCTGCTCCATGATATCTGGGACTTCAGCTGGAATATTAAAAAGCTGGGGCTAGATTCTTCTGAAGGCTTGTTCACTCAAGATGTTTCTGGTGGTTGATGCTGGTTATGGATTAGGCACCTTAAACTTCATTCCTGTGGGCCTGTTTGTGACGACTCTACGCGTGAGCTGGTTTGTACTTCCTTACAATATGGTGACTGGGTTCCAGAGGCAAGCATAGAGGATAACTTGGAATGGATAATATAATGAATACATATTCTAACATTTTTGCTTTAGTAGCGTCAGATTTTAGAAAAGAAATAGAATGTTGCAGGTACATTTGAAGTCCCTAAGTACCCCTCTCAGGTGCCATTCCTCTGCTTCCAACTCCAGAGGTAACTATTACCCTGATTTTGGTGTTTATTATTCCCATCTATGTTTTATGCTGTTATTACATATGATTATATCATTGTTTTGAATGACATTATACATTATATAAATGATACCACATTATGTGTATTATTCTTTAGCTTGCTTTTTTTGTTCAACAATATGTTTTTGAGTTTTAGCCATGTGGTTACATATATGTACTCTAGTTCATTTCCTTCAGCCATGTTGTTTTTCTATTCTTAGACTGGTATCAGAATTTATCTGTTTTTGGATTGTTGGATATTTATTTGGTTTCAATTTTTAGCTAGTACAAACTGCTTAGTGAGTATTTTAATGCAAATCTGAACATTAGTCTCCATCCTCGTAACCATGTCCTTAGATTTAATTAATTTTATTTTTTTATGTGTGCATGTGTCTTTATAGCAGCATGTTTTATAATCCTTCGGGTGTATACCCAGTAATGGGATGGCTGCGTCAAATGGTATTTCTAGTTCTAGATCCTTGAGGAATTGCCACACTGTCTTCCACAATGGTTGAACTAATTTACACTCCCACCAACAGTGTAAAAGCATTCCTATTTCTCCACATCCTCTCCATTATCTGTTGTTTCCTGACTTTTTAATGATTGTCATTCTAACTGGTATGAGCTGGTATCTCATTGTAGTTTTGATTTGCATTTCTGTAATGACCAGTGATGAGCTTTTTTTCATATGTTTGTTGGCTGCATAAATGTCTTCTTTTGAGAAGTGTCTGTTCATATCCTTTGCCCACTTTTTGATGGGGTGGTTTGTTTTTTTCTTGTAAATTTAAGTTCCTTGTGGATTCTGGATATTAGCCCTTTGTCAGATGGATGGATTGCACAAATTTTCTCCCATTCTGTAGGTTGCCTGTTCACTCTGATGATAGTTTCTTTTGCTGTGCAGAAGCTCTTTAGTTTACTTAAATCCTATTTGTCAATGTTGGCTTTTGTTGCAATTACTTTTGGTGTTTTAGTCATGATGTCTTTGCCCATGGCTATGTCCTGAATGGTATTGCCTAGTTTTTCTTCTAAGGCTTTTATGGTTTTAGGTGTTACTTTTAAGTCTTTAATCCATCTTGAGTTAATTTTTGTATAAGGCTTAACAAAGGGATACAGTTTCAGTTTTCTGCATATGGCTAGCCAGTTTTCCCAGCACCATTTATTAAATAGGAAATCCTTCCCCTGTTGCTTGCTTTTGTCCTGTTTGTCGAAGATCAGGTGGTTGTAGATGTGTGGTGTTATTTCTGAGCACTCTGTTCTGTTCCATTGGTCTATTTATCTGTTTTGGTACTAGTACCATGCTGTTTTGGTTACTGTAGCCTTGTAGTATAGTTTGAAGTCAGGTAGCATCATACCTCCAGCTTTGTTCTTTTTGCTTAGGATTGCCTTAGCTCTATGGGCTCTTTTTTGGTTCCATACGAAATTTAAAGTACTTTCTAATTCTGTGAAGAAAGTTAATGGTAGCTTGATGGGAATAGCATTGAATCTGTAAATTACTTTGGGCAGTATGCACATGCTGTTTTATCTGCCTGTCTCATCTCTTCCCACTGGTTACCTGGTTGAAATCCAGGTCAGTCAGTATCCACTTGGTAAAGCTTTCTGTTTTTGCCCTCAATATCTCCCAACTGGTTACTGACTCCTTACTGCTACCTCTAAATCTTATAAATTTTAAAAGTGTATCACTTTAAATTTTATTCTCTGTTAGATTTTGAGCTCTTTGAAGATACCATTTGAGTCTTATTCGTCTTTTTTTCCACAATACCTAGCGTGGTGTCTAGCATATTATAGGAGTCACATCATAGGTTCACAATAAATGTTTCTCATGTTGCTGAATTTGTTGAGTTAAATTTATTTGTTCATATTTTTAGTGTCTAGCACAGTGCCCAGCAGATGTTCAATAAATGTTGGTTGGATTTTTTTTTTTTTTTTTTTTCCAGATAGGGTCTCGCTCTGTTTCCCAGGCTGGAGTGCAGTGGTATGATCTCAGCTCACTGCAACTTCTGCCTCCCAGGTTCAAGCAACTCTTCCACCTCAGCCTAACATGTAACTGGGAGTACAGGTGCATGTGCCACCATGCCTGTCTAATTTCTTGTAGTTTTGGTAGAGATGGGGTTTCACCACGTTGGCCAGGCTGGTCTCTAACTCCTGACCTCAAGTGATCCACCCACGTTGGCATCCCAAAATGCTGGGATTACAGGTGTGAGCCACCATGCCCCAGCCTGTTTGTTGGATTTTATCAAACATAAACAGAAACCAAAGATTTTAGTGCTTTCTTCTATTCCCACTTAAAGGTCATCTCCTAAATTTTTTTTTTTTTTGAGAGGGAGTCTTGCTCTGTTGCTGTCTTTGCTCACTGCAACCTCTGCCTCCTGGGTTCAGATGATTCTTCTGCCTCAGCTTCCTGAATAGCTGGGACTGCAGGCATGTGCCACCACACCCGGCTAATTTTTGTATTTGTAGTAGAGATGGAGTTTCACTATGTTGGCCAGACTCGTCTCAAACTCCTGACCTTGTGATCCACCTGCCTCGGCCTCCCAAAGTGCTAGGATTATAGGCGTGAGCCACCGTGCCTGGCCCTAAATCTTTACTTGAGCACTACATTAACACCTTTACAGTTTTTTATCCTTTCTGAATTTTCTTAAGATTTTTGGTATTTATATATTGGTTGCGAGAAATAATCACTAAATTAACAATTGGTTGGCCGGGCGTGGTGGCTCAAGCCTGTAATCCCAGCACTTTGGGAGGCCGAGACGGGTGGATCACGAGGTCAGGAGATCAAGACCATCCTGGCGAACACGGTGAAACCCCGTCTCTACTAAAAAAATACAAAAAACTAGCCGGGCGAGATGGCGGGCGCCTGTAGTCCCAGCTACTCGGGAGGCTGAGGCAGGAGAATGGCGTGAACCCGGGAGACGGAGCTTGCAGTGAGCTGAGATCTGGCCACTGCACTCCAGCCTGGGCAGCAGAGCGAGACTCCGTCTCAAAAAAAAAAAAAAAAAACAATTGGTGAAAACTATGCTTTATTGGACTTCAGTTTTTTTCAGATGAAATCTGCTCTTGAGCCCATAGTAAACTTTTCATTTCAGATATACTGTTCAACTCCAGAATTTCCATCTGGTTCGGTTCTCTTCTCTGTTCTCTCTTTTCTCTTTTCGAGATAGAATCTGGTTCTATTGCCCAGGCGGAGTACAGTGGCATGATCTCGGCTCACTGCAACTTCTGCCTCCTGGGTTCAAGTGATTCTCCTGCCTCAGCCTTCTGAGTAGCTGGTACTACAGGTGCCTGCCGCCATGCCTGTCTAATTTTTGTATTTTTAGTAGAGACATGGTTTCACCATGTTGGCCAGGGTGGTCTTGAACTCCTGACCTTAAATGATCCACCTGCCACAGCCTCTCAAAATGCTGAGATTACAGACGTGAACCACTGCGCCTGGCCGGTCAATTGATTTTTAACAAAGATACAAATGTAATTCAGTGGAGAGCAGATATATTTTCATTAAATGATGTTGGCACAGTTACACATATTCATATGTAAGAAAATGGACCTTTTATCCTAAGTGAATTAACACAAAAAAGGAAAACCAAAAACCACATATTTTCACTTATATGTGGGACCTAAATATTTGGTACACATGGACAAAGAGATGGGAACAATAGACACTGGGGATTCCAAAAGTAGATATGAAAGGAGGCAAGGGTTGAAAAACTACCTGTTTGGTAACCTGGTCGCTCACTATTTGGGAGATGGGTTCAATAGAAGCCCAAACCTCAGCATCATGCAATATATCCTTGAAATGAACGAACTTGGCACATGTACCATCTGAATCTAAAATTAAAAAAATAAAGAAAATGAAACTTGAGCCATACTTGGTATCGTATGCAAAAATTTACTCAAAACAGATTGTAGATAAATGTAAAACTTATAAAACTTATAGAGAAAATAGAGAAGAAAACCTTTGCAAATCGTGTACCTAAGAACTTGTAACCAGATTATATAAGGAACTCTCAGAACTCAGCATAAGAGAAAGAAATTTTAATGGGCAAAAGACTTCAATTGACACTTTCTCAAAGAGTACATATGGATGGCAATTAAACATACGAAAAGATGTTCAACATCATTAGCCATTAGGCAAATGCAAATTAAAACCACAATGAGATGCCAGTGCATCCCTGTAGGAATAGCAGAAAAAACAAAACCTGAAAAAAATGACAATATAAAGTGTTTACAAGGATATCAAGAAACTGGAACTCCCATACATTGCTAGTGGGAATGTAAAGAGGTACAGCCATGTTAGAAAACAGTTTGGAGTTTTTACAATAAAGTTAAATATATACTTATTTTATGTCCTAGCAGTCTCACTTCTACATAATCACCCAAGACAAATGTAAAACCAGTACATGAATGTTGACAGTGGCTTTATTTTCTAGTACCTAAACAATTCACATAATAGTCTTTCCATAAATATTGTTGAATAAATGAATGACTTACTATGATAATTATTGAGATTGAGGTTTTTTTATATTTTATTGTCATTAGTCTCTGTGATAGGCAAATGATATTTACTTGATAAGCCTTTTTATCAAATAATATGATTATGACTTCTATGACAATGTATCCCAATGATATGATCAATTCTTTTAAAAAGAAAGGTGGTAGCATATACAAACTTGATTATACAAAGACAGTAACACTGTATGTGGTACAGACCTTTAAGTACTGTATTATATTGAGATTTAGATTAATTTTTAAAAATCTTGAAAGATACATTTGACTTCTCTTTTTTTTTTTTTTTTAAATTATTTGTTTTTTAGAATCACTAGAATAACAATGTGTGCTCCGATGCAAAAACTCTGGACCCATTTAAAGATCTATGTTCGAGATTGAAAACTGGCAGCCTTTAAGTGAATTTGATTCTTAAATCTGTTTTCTTTGGCCTGCACAGTATTGGTCAAACAGAATATTTACAAACATCGGATAAGCATTTCACTCATAGCAACCACTAACTGTAATTGGTAGTATCTACACCTTACAGACAAGAAATATGGTCTCCAGTTTGCCACAGTTCCCACTAGTCTCTATTGTTTACCCAACAGTGAGGCCAAATGTTGGTTGCTGTGTCACTGTGCTTGTGCTTTTGTTTTTCTTATACATGGATCTCTCATTCACTTGTGATACTTCTTGTGCTACAGTCTGTTATTTTATGATAACACACCAAATTTAAAAGATAAAAATGTTAAAAACATCCACCTTATCACTTGTTAACATGGTTATTTTCTTAGTGTCTTCATTGGCTGCTCTGGCATGGAGCTGATATCACACACGTAACAACGAGAGGTTGGGCAGCATCTCACATAGCTGCAATCAGGGGTCAGGATGCTTGTGTACAGGTAATAATACCTTATTACTTTTTTTCAATAAGCTCAATTACTTTAACATAGTTCTATTGGGCTATTGCTATTATTCTAATTATTTGACTCAATAGATTTAGTTTTATGTTCTAAACAATAACTTACTGGATTCCACAACTCAGATATTCTGATACCAGCTATCCACTTAAATAAATGGTATGCAACCAGAAATCCTTTTATCTCTGATGTAGTTGGCTATCTGGGTTGTTTTGTGAGATCTCACAGTCATGACCAGATTATCTCCTTTATAGCTTGCTGCTGTGGACTGAATGTTTGTGTCCTCCAAAATAAATATGTTGAAGTCTTAACCCCAAGGTGATAGTGTTAAGAGGTGAGGCCTTTTGGGAGGTTATTAGGTCATGAGGGGTTTGCCCTCATAAATGGGATTAATGTCCTTTTGCAAGAGACCTCAGAGAGCTAGCTCACTAGCCTCTTCCACCATATGAAGATGCTGTGAGAAGGCACTATCCATGCAGAGTGAGCCCTCACCAGACAGAATCTGCCAGCACCTTAATCTTGGACTTTCCAGCCTCTAGAACTATGAGAAATAAATTTTTGTTGTTTATATGCTCCCCGGTTTATGATATTTTGTATAGTAGTCTAAACAGACTAAGACATTTGGCCATGCCTAAAATTTCATATTTAATGTATTGCCTGACCAGGGTGACACATTAATATATGGTGGGATCTAGTATATTAGAGTAATTGTTATTATTCAGTGTTTTGAAATAGACTGGAATTTGGAGGAATACAGAGTCATATAAGCAAACAGTTGGTATTAGTCCATTCTCACACTGCTATGAAGAAATACCCGAGACTGGGTAATTTATAAAGAAAAAAAGTTTAGTTAACTCACAGTTCCACATGGCTGGGAATGCCTCAGAAAACTTACAATCATGGTGGAAGGGGAAGCAAACACGTCCTTCTTCACAGGATGGCAGGAAGAGAGAACTGCTGAGCAAAGGGGGAAAAGCTTCTTATAAGACCATCAGATCTCGTGAGAACTCAGTCACTATCATGAGAACAGCATGGGGGCAACCACCCCCTGATTCAGTTACCTCCCACCGTGTCCCTCCCATGACACGTGGAGGTTATGGGAACTACAATTCAAATGAGATTTGAGGGGGGACACAGCCAATCCACATCACAGTTCCTGCCAGGAGGAAGCATGAGATTGTTTGAAGGGTCAGGAGCTCTACTCAGTGAGTTGCAAAACGATACAAAGCAAAATCTATGATTAAAGTTCTAATGAAAAATACAGATGAGAAGAATTGTATAATTTAGGAGGAGGTAGAGGGATCATAAATGGAGGAAATAAAACATCAGTTAAGCCCAAAAGAGTGGGTTGATTTTAAAGATTAAGTAATGAGGAAGTATTATAGAGGCAGGCAATACGTTAGGAGCAAATAAAAATAATAATTGTCATTCATTGAAGATTTATTGTGTGTCAGTCAGTCTCTCATGTATCATTTCATCCAACACAAACAGTTCTATGAGTTCACTTTTATATAGGTTACAAAACAGATTCAGAGTGTTAAGTACCTTGCCTAAGCAAGTGACAGAGCTAGGATCTGAACCTAGACTTGTCCCATTAATCTCTATGCTATACTTCTGTAAGAAGCTCCTGAATTGGAAAATTGGGCTATGTTCAGAGGATATACCATTATGTTAGTTTTACTGAGTATAGATTATTTATGGTGTGGACTGTTAAGAACCATGCTTGGGTAGACCAGTTTTGTAAAGTGCCTCAGAAATAGAATGAAGATTTTGGATTCATTTTATAGAAAGATAGTTTTTTCCCCCTCCTCAACCCTGTGATTACCTGGAAAGAAAAGAGAGGTTTTGTTTATGTTTTTGTTTTTTGAGACAGCGTCTTGCTCTGTCGCTCTGGCTGGAGCGCAGTGCCCTGGTCATGACTCACTGCAGCATCAACCTGCCGGGTCCAAGTGATCCTCCCACCTCAGCCTCCCAAGTAGCTGAGACCACCAACATGCTTCACCATGCCTGGCTAATTTTTTTGTAGAGATGTCTGTCAGGGGTTTCTCCCTATGTTGCCTAGGCTGGTCTTGAACTCAAGGGCTCAAGTGATCCTCCTGCCTTGGCTTCCCAAAATGCTGGGATTACAGGCATGAGCCACTGCATCTGGCTGCGAAAAGAGAGTTTTTATATACATTATATGTGTGTGTGCGTGTGTGTGTGTGTGAATATGTCTGTATATATATTTATACATACACATAAACATCCACATGGACATTAACAGGGGAATGAGATAATGAAAACAGTATTTCAGGGAATTATTCTAGCAAAATGTGTCCAGGATTACTAGGATGAAGGAAGAGTTTAAAGACAAGAAGGTCAGTTAGAGATTTTTTGCTGTAATCACTAACCAGAGAGGGTAAAAATAGGTGGTGGCAGAGGGAAAGAAAGAAAATGAGGCAAGATATCTTGCAAAGCAAACATTGACAGAGTGTAGTGAAAATTCAAATTTCGAGTCAGAATAACAGATAATTATGATGGAATGAATAGGGAAATCTGAAAAGCAAGGAACACTGGGAAGACAGATGTTGATTTCATTTTGGCATACATTGAGTTTAATGTGTCTGTAGGTCATCCAGGTAGAAGAGGGTCCAGGCGGTTGAAAAGGGGGCTGGAGATAAAGATTACAGGAATGGTGAAGTATAGAAGAGTCTCAAACTCCTGGGCTCAAGTGATCCTTCCACCTCGGCCTCCCAGAGTGTCAGGATTACAGGCATGAGCAACCGCTCCTGGCCGGGACTAATAATTCTTTTAAGCCAATTACTCTGTATATGGTATAACCCATATATAGAAACTGGGCCAATTGCAAATTCAGATGGGACCTCTTTAGATGTACTTAGAAACTTGATTTGGAGCTTAGAACTCGTCACTTTAATTAATTCTTTGATTGAGTCCAAAACCTTGTTAACAAAGGATTCTGCTTTTGAATTAGTGAAGGTTTAAATTTCAGTTTTATTAGGTTAGAATTAAAGAATTTAACTTAGTGGCTATCTGTGCTCATGAAAGATGTGTCTTATAAATTATATACACATGCTCAAATCAAAATGTAAAACCAATATTATAAATGTCTTCTAGGCAATGTTAAAACATTTTCTTGAGGCCAAAGTGGGTGGGAGCACGTGCTGCTGGGAGTTGCTTGGCGGCACGGGGCTGAAGGCTAGCAAACCAAGTGATCATGTTGCACAAACAAATTTACTATTCGGACAAATATGACGATGAGGAGTTTGAGTATCAACATGTCATGCTGCCCACGGACACAGCCAAGCTGGTCTGTAAAACCCATTTGATGTCTGAATCTGAATGGAGGAATCTTGGCATTCAGCAGAGTCAGGGATGGGTCCATTATATGATCCATGAACCAGAACGTCACATCTTGCTGTCTTGGCACCCACTACCCAAGAAGCCAAAGAAAGGAAGCTGGCAAGCTGCTTTTCAGCCTCAAGCTTTACACAGGTCTCCTTACTTCCTAACATCTTTCTGATAACATTATTATGTTGCCTTCTTGTTTCTCACTTTGATATTTAAAATATGTTCCATACACTGTTTGAATGTGCTAGTAACTGCTTTGCTTCTTGAGTAGAGCCACCTCCACCATAGCCCAGCCAGATGAGTGCTCTGTGGACCCACAGCCTCAGCTGAGTGTGATCCCAGAAGCCACGATGTGCTCTGTATCCAGAACACAGTTGGCAGATGGAGGAAGCATCTGAGTTTGAGACCATGGGTGTTACAGGGATCATGTAAACTTGCTGTTTTTGTTTTATCCTGCCAGGTGTTTTATCCTGCCAGGCAACTTGTGGATTTATGTTTCAGTGTACTGGAAACTTTCCATTTTATTCGAGAAATCTGTTCATGTTAAAAGCCTTGATTAGAGAGGAAGTTTCTATAATCTTAAAAAACAAAACAAAACAAAACATTTTCTTAGTATTAGCTAAGAATTTCTTACGATTTGCTTGTAGCACACATGTAAGAACATACATAATAATTTAGCTATAGATTAATAAATTGCCTTTGTATAATCTGCATCTGCGTTTATGGTTTAACATCTATACTCATGTAAAATCGTTCCTATTTCTCTATTTTTAGGCTCTTATAATGAATGGAGCAAATCTGACAGCCCAGGATGACCGGGGATGCACTCCTTTACATCTTGCTGCAACTCACGGGCATTCTTTTACTTTACAAATAATGCTCCGAAGTGGAGTGGTGAGTGACTCCTATTAATATGTGCTAATGTATGATAATGTAGATGGAATAGCATTTGGTAGTCTAGTTGTCTCTTCCTGACTTTTTAGATCTCTTATATGACTTTGGGAAGCTAATTTAATTTTTCTCTCTACCTTTTCTATCTTTAAACATAGAAGCAATAATTCAGACAAATCTTCTCTTCTCCCCCAAAAATCAATTTAGTATTACAAAGTACTTGAGAGGTTTTGGGTTCTTCATGCCAGTTCAGAGTTTAACTGGTTAGATTACGAAGCTTCAAACAAATCTTAACCAGGTGATTGTAAATCTTTATGAATTTTTGTATGTCTACCTATGTGTTTGTTTTGAAACTCTTATTTCATATACTGATTTAGAAAGTGATTTATTTCTTCAGAAATTTTGTTTATTGCAATATTTATCTGTAGTAGTTGTAATAAATAACATAGAAGAAGAGAACTACATATATTGAAGACATTGTGGTGAGAGTTGGTGTTTCTATAGTTTGAGAAAGAGTGAAAACTTATTAAATATTTTTTATTAATTCTGTTTATATTCTCAATGATAGTATTTGATCATTCAATCTATCCCTTTCATTTTATTGGTCAGGAATCTAACTGGTAAGATGACTAGTTAAGTTCCTTTTTAAAAACTATTTTATGTGACTCGTTCTTTTGAAAAGCCTGTTTTATAAAATTTTACTAGTATTTTATTAGCTCATATATTCAAATTAGTGGTTGCAGTACATTTTTCTATTATGTTAAGTGTTTGCCTTCTTGTATTAAGAGCAGCCTCCAATTCTTATTTATAGAATTAAGCTGCTAGGTTTAGTGTTTTCCCTACAAAATAGGGAGAAACTAAGTCCTTGTGAATGTTACCTCTAGGATCCCAGTGTGACCGATAAGAGAGAATGGAGACCTGTACATTATGCAGCTTTTCATGGACGGCTTGGCTGCTTGCAACTTCTTGTTAAATGGGGTTGTAGCATAGAAGATGTGGACTACAATGGAAACCTTCCAGGTATTTTAAATAAAGCAAATGTTTTAGTTTTTCATTGATATAAACTTTTAAATGTTTGATCTTGTTTAAGAAATTTAAACTGTTGGCTGAGCATGGTGGCTTACACCTATAATCTCAGCACTCTGAGAGGCTGAGGCAGGAGGATCACTTGAGGCCAGGAGTTTGAGACCAGCCTGGACAACATTGTGAGACCCTCTCTCTACAAAAAAAGTGAAAGAAAGAAAAAAGCTGGGTGTTGTGATGTGTGCCTATAGTCTAACTTCTTGGGAGGCTGAGGATTTGGGAGCCCAGGGATTGGAGGCTACAGTGAGCTGTGATTGTACCATTGCACTTCAGTACAACAAAGTGAGACCCCATCTCTTAAAAAATAAAGACATTGAAACCAATTATTCTGTTAGTCCCTCACAAAATGAAGTAGTCTATATGTTGACATGAACACTTTTTATCTTACATCACACCCATCTTATGTACCTTACGTTTGATCGATTTTTTTTCTGGAACCATATCAGCAAAAGATAAATTGGCAAAATTAAACATAGATTTGCTCTTCCTGCCAATTGTTTCCTTCATCTGCTATCTAGTGTTTTTATTTTTTAACTTCACCTCTCTCTGCCTCATAGACAACTTATTTATTTTTAAATTTAAATTTTTTTTTTTTTTGAGATAGGGTCTTGCTCTGTTGCCCAGGCTGGAGTGGCAGTGGTGTGCTCTCAGCTCACTGCAACCTCTGCCTCCCAGGTTCAAGTGATTCTTATGTCTCAGCGTCCTTTGTAGCTGGGTTTCAGGCACCTGCCACCACGCCTGGCTACTTTTTGTATTTTTAGTAGAGAGGGAGTGTCACCATGTTGGCTAGGCTGGTCTCGAACTCCTGGCCTCAAGAGATCTGCTTGCCTCGGCTTCCCAAAGTGCTGGAATTGCAGGCAGGAGCCACTGCACCTGGCCCAACTTTTTCATTTTTTAAACAGTACTGCATAAGTGGAGGATACTAGTTAATTTGCTACTTCAGTTGTCTAACCTACAGTAAAGTGGCCAGTGGAGACCTAGACTCCACCTTCTTTAAAAAGTGGTCTAGAAATTCTGAAGGATAGATCACAGTGAGATTGGAGTGAAAATGATACTTAAATGATACTTTAAAGAAGCAAACATAGAAAGAGGAAGGGCAGAATAATATGAACAGGACTGATCAAATCACTTTGCCATTTAGAACCTCCCTGGATCCCTGTGGAGCCTCTGATTCCTTGGCTTGGCATGCTGGACTTACATAATTTGGCTCCTACCTACCTGCATGGCCTCATCTTTCTATATCTTTACATTACTGTCCATGATCATTTTGCTTTTTTCTGAAGTTCATCTTTCAGTGTTCATTTAGTGAAGTCTTTTGGTATGAACTTTTCAATTTTTGTGTATCTGAAAATTTATTTTGTTCTCATTCTTTTTACTTTGTATTTTGTAAGGTTTTTTTTTTGTTTTGTTTAAAGTAAAATTTAAATTAAAGTCCCAAAAAACAAAAAGCCCCTCTCTCGGCAGTGCCTACAGAGGTGGCAGCCATCTCCTCCTCGGCATCATGGCCACCCTTAGACCCCTTGTAAAGCCCAAGATCGTCAAAAAGAGAACTAAGAAGTTCATCTGGCACCAGACTGACCGATATGTCAGAATTAAGTGTAACTGGCAGAAACTCAGAGGTATAGACAACAGGGTTCATAGAAGGTTCAAGGGTCGATCTTGATGCCCCAACATTGGTTGTGGGAGCAACAAAAAAAAACAAAGCACATCCTGCCCAGTGGCTTCTGGAAGTTCCTGGTCCACAACGTCAAGGAGCTGGAAGTGCTGCTGATGTACAACAAATCTCACTGTACTGAGATGTTTCCTCCAAGAACCGCAAAGCCATCGTGGAATGGGCTGCCCAGCTGGCCATCATAGTCACCAACCCCAATGCCAGGCTGCGCAGTGAAGAAAATGAGTAGCTACCTCATGGGCATGCTTTATGTTTAAATAAAACTGTAAAAACTGCAAAGAAAACCCAAAACACCAAAAACCAAAAAAAAAATTCTTTTGTGCTAGGCTTCCTTCACTTTTTCAGACTGCTTTCAATTGCTCCATTTTTGCATATGGTATTATTTATGGTATTATTAGTTTTTCTTTAGTTTTAGTCTTTCTGGTGGATGTATCTCATTGCAGTTTCAAATTTACATTTTTCCTGATGACTACAAATTATTTTTTTCTAGTTATTTTGAAATACATGGTTTCATATTTTTAATGGCTATTTAGTTATTTTTTTTTGTGAAGTAGGAGTTCAGATCTTTTGCCTATTAGCTATTGGAGTATGTCTTTTTCTTATTGAGTCGTAGGAGTTCTTTATATATTCTAGATACAAGCCCTTTGTCAGTTATGTTTATTACCAATATCTTTTCATGCAAATATCTTTCTAATCTTTCTACTCTATGGCTTGCTTTTTCATTCTTTGGTATTTTTTGATAAATAGAGGTTTTAATTTTTTTTTTTTTTAAATGGAATCTTGCTCTGTTGCACAGGCTGGAGTGCAGTGGCACAGTCTTGGCTCACTGTAACCTCTGCCTCCTGGGTTCAAGCAATTCTCCTGCGTCAGCCTCCCGAGTAGCTGGGATTACAGGCATGCGCCACCACACCTGGCTAATTTTTGTATTTTTAGTAGAAACAGAGTTTCACCATGTTGGCCAGGCTGGTCTCGAACTCCCGACGTTGTGATCCACCCACCTTGGCCTCCCAAAGTGCTGGGATTACAGGTGTGAGCCACCACACTTGGCCAGAGGTTTTAATTTTAATGTAATCCATTTTAATAATCTCTTCCTTTGTAGTTAGTGCTTTTTGTACTTTCCCTATTCTGTGATCATGAAGACATTCCTTTATGTTATCTTTTAGAAATGTTATTATCTTACTTTCACATTTATATTCCCAATCCTCTTAGAAGTGACTTTTCTGTGTGTAATACAAGGTAGGGGTCAGTTTTATTTTTGTATTGTCCTTTATCAAGTATACTTGATCATTTTTGTTAGTCTTGTCTGGTCATTAAAAAATCCAATTGTTTCTTTAAACAGGTATAATTCTTTTATTTATAACCAGTAGAGTATTTATAATAATATAGATGTTAAGAAAGAATGTGGCCTTAGGTCTAGACTGCTTGTGTTCAAATCACTCTCATAAAATTATTTTTTATTGATAAGTGTACATATTTTTGGTGTACGTGTGATAATTTGATACATTCATGTAATGTATAAAGATCAAATCAAGGTAGTATGGGTAGCCATCCCTTAAATAGTTCTTTTCTTTATGCTAGAAACATTCAAATTATTTTTTTCTAGTTATTTTGAAATACATGATAGACTATGGTTAACTATAATCACCCTACTGATCTGTCAAACACTAGATCTTATTTCTTCTACTGAATTTTATATTTGTACCCATTAATCAACTCTGTTCTTCCTCTCTCCATGCTACCCTTCTGGCCTTTGATAACCACCAATCAATTTACTCTCTATCTTCATGAAACCAGCATATTTTAGCTCCCACATATGAATGAAAACATATAATAGTTGTCTTTCTGTGCTTGACTTATTTTACTTAACATGATGACCTCCGATTCCATCTATCTTGTGGCAGTGAGAGTATTTCATTCATTTTTGTCTGAATCATATTCCATTGTGAATATACATTACATTTTCTTCATTCATCATTGATGTACACTTAGGTTGATTCCATATTTTGGCTATTGTGAATAGTGTATTAATAAATATGAGAGTGCAGCTATCTCTTTGATATAATGACATTTTTTTCTTGTGGATATATACACAGTAGTGGAATTAACTTATAGTTTATATAATATAAATCTAGCTACTCTTGTTTGTTTTTTTCTTCTAGTTGCATGGAATATCTTTTCCATTCCTTCACTTTCAGTCGATGTGTATCTTTATAGATGAAGTGGGTTTTTTGTAGGCAGCATGTAGTTGGGTCATGTTTCTTTATACTCTGTGCCTTTTAATTGGAGAGTTAAGTCTATGTACATTCAGTGTTGTTATTGGTAGGTAAAGACTTACAGCTGCCATTTTGTTGCTTGTTTTCTGGTTGTTTTGTAACTCCTATGTTCCTTTCTTCTTGTCTTTCTTTGTGGTTAAGTGATTTTCTCTGGTAGTATGTTTTTTTTTTTTTGCTTTTTATTTTTTAGTAAATATAGGTTTTGCATTGTAGTTACCATGAGTCTTACATTTTATAGATATAACAGATTATTTTAAAGAGATGACAACTTACCTTAGGTCACAAAGAAAGGAATAGAAACAAGGAAAAACCAAAATGCCCTACATGTTAACTGTTTCTCCCACATTTTGCCTTTTTGTTGTCTCTATTTACATATTTTTGAGGTTTTTTGTTTGTTTTTTTGAGATGGAGTCTCGCTCTGTTACCCAGCCTGGAGTGCAGTGGTGCGATCTTGGCTCACTGCAACCTTCTCCTCCTGGGTTCCAGAGATTCTCCTGCCTCAGCCTCCCAAGTAGCTGGGTTACAGGCGCCCACCCCCATGCCTGGCTAATTTTTGTATTTTTCATAGAGATGGGGTTTCACCATGTTGGCCAGGCTGGTCTCGAACTCTTGACCTCAAGTGATCCACTCTCCTCGGCCACTCAAAGTGCTAGGATTACAGGTGTGAGCCATTGTGCCCCACCTATTTATATATTTTTGTATTTCCTATCTCTTAACAGATTGCTATAGCTATTATTGTTTTTGTTAGATTTGTCTTTTAGTCTTCATACTGGAGTTATCACACACCACAGTTACATTATTGGAGTATTCTAGGGTTGTCCATGTTTTTAATTTCACCAGTGATTTTTATACCTTCAAATGTTTTCCATTTGCACATTAGTGTTTCTTATTCCTGATTGAAGAACTCCCTTTAACATTTCTTATAAGATGGTTCTGGTGATCGTAAACTCTCTCAGGTTTTGTTGGTCTGGGAAAGGCTTTCTGTCTTCTTCTTCTTCTTTTTTTTTTTTTTGGTGTTAGGAATATTTTAACCATATATCTTCAATATTATCTATCCAGGACCAAAGTAAGTTCTGATGCAGGAAATGAGTGAGTTTCACAGCTTTCTGAGCCCCTACTTGACCCAGGAAGCCCAGCTAGCCCCTCCTCTGAGTTCCCTGTCTAAAACAGGATACCCCAACTGCTATTGGGAACTGGGCGGCAGTCGTTCTGGCTACTTCCTGCTGGTTAGGGGCGAAGAAGGGGCCCTGCAGTTTTGGTGTCCTCCAGAGGGGAACATTTTAGGCCAGTCAGGGACCAGCAGGTTGATCTAGGGGTCCTCGGTAGAAGCCGTGAGTTGAGCTCATTTGAGGTTCCATTTGTAAGAGCATTTGTAGCTTGATGGCCTTGATCCTGGAGGAAACAAATTTGACAAGGAGGTTAAAAATGCAAGGCCCAAAGACGAGTAAAAGTAGGATGGCTGTCACAGGGCCTAGAAAGGGGAGGAGCCCAGATATCCATTGGTTAAACATATTCCAGGGTACTGAATGTTCAAGCTCCTTCTCGTCTTTTAAATGTCTAACAATATCCTGTAATTTTTTGTGAGCTTCAGGCCTTAAGGGACATTGCCTTTGATAAGGAAAAGTGGTGGGGTCTTTTAGCCTGATTTGAACTGGATGGGCATTCTTTGTCTTTCCGAATTGTCCTTCTAAGGCCCAGACTTCAGAGTTGATTCCTTCTTCAAGTAGGGGACAATGAATGGATAATTTATTTCTTATATTCTTGTAGATAATAGCCCCAGCTTTGGCTAACATGTCCCTACCTAATAAGGGTGTTGGACTTTTGGGCGTAACAAGAAAGGCATGTGAAAAGAGCAAAGTCTCCTAATTGCAACCGAGGAGGTGAGAGTAATACCTGGTTATTAGGCTGTCCTAAGATTCCTTGAATAGTAACGGACTTTGAGGCAGTCATCTGGGGCAGGAGATTAAAACTGAGATGGCCGCGCCAGTGTCCAGGAGGAAGTCCACTTCCTGGCCCTAAATGGTCAAACTTACTTGGGGCTCTGTGAGGGTGATGGCATGAGCTGGCGCTTGCCCTGGCCACCCTCAGGCCTGTTGCTGAATCATCTGGTTGGGCTTCTGGCCCAGACGGCCTTCGTCCTCTGGGGGCAGTGTGCCTTCCAGTGATTGCCTTGGCGTATTGGACATGGGCAAGGGGGCTGTTTGTTTCTGGTTAGACAATCTTTCTTAAAGTGTCCTTGCAAACCACACTGATAACAAGCCCTACTAGGAAATTGGCTTGCTCCTCTTTTGGTTCCCTCTGAGCCACCAGGGTCTGCCTGTCTGAGGGCCATGACTAAGGCTGTAGCCTTTTTCTTATCTCGCTTTTCCCTTTTGGCCTGTTCCTCTTGGTCCCTGTTATAGAACACCGAGGTTGCCAGGTTTAATAATGTCTCCAAATTTTGTTCGGGGCCTAAGGCAAACTTTTGGAGTTTTCTCCTAATGTCAGCCGCTGATTGGGTGATAAATTTATCCTTTAGAATAAGTTGGCCTTCCAGGGAGTCTGGAGTTAGGGAGGTGTGCTTTCTTAGGGCCTACCTTAGTTTTCTAGAAAAGCAGAAGGGTTTTCCTCTTTTTCTCTGCATAATTGTGGATAACATTGAGTAGTTCATAGGCTTTTTCGTAGTCTTCCTCAACCCTTCTAAAATGCAAGTTAGCAAATGCCTGTGGCTCCAATCTGCATGATTTGAGTCAGTATCCTAATAAGGGTCTACAGTGGGTACTGTCTGTTGCCCTGTGGGGAATTTTCCCTTTTCCTCCAGAGTCATTCGATCATTTACCTGGCTAAGATACCATAAATCTCCAAATTGCTGGGCTGCTGCTAAAGCTGCCTCCTTTTCAGTAGGACTTAAGGTCTGATTAAGGAACAACATGATGTCCTTCCATGCTAGATCAAAGGACTACCCTAACCCTTGTAAAACATCTATATAGTTAGAGGGATCATCCGAGAATTTCCCTAAATCTGCCTTTATTTGTTTTAAATCTGAGAGTGAGAAGGGCGCATGAAAGTG